TTGGCCTGAACATTACTGGGACCATGAAAGAGGTTTGCTAAAGCAAATTGAGGATTCTCAGGCGCTCATTCTGTCATCTCTACAGTCTTATTTTTGAATGGATGACAATTTTGTCATTCCTAAGCTATATATTTCCCCAAGAGCCATTTGCTCTTTTGAAAATGTAGATAATTTTCCACTTAGAAGCTATGCCATACAATTGTATATATTATTGTATGCTATATAATTGTATATATTTTTACTGGAGTTTATAAACATCAATGGGGTCCAAGATAAACTCACTTTTTGTATGTATGTATGTATGTAACACTGAAATTATCAGGAAAATGGTTTTAGAGATATAATTGGAAATTTTTACTCATGGTTCATAATGTCCACTTGTTCTTTACATAAACTTTCACAAACTCTAAAAATGTCCTTTGCCACTTTTTGATAGGGTGTTTTATTTTTGCTTGATTTTCCTGAGTTTTATATGGATTCTAGTTATTAGCCCTTTATTGAATGTGTAACATGCGAATATTTCCTACCATTCTGTAGGTTGTTCTTGTTTGCTCCTCGTGAATAGTTTCCTTGGTTGTAATAGCAGCTAATTGATCAAGTCCCATTTATTATTTTTGTTGTTGGCTGTGATGATTTTAGGGTCTTCTTTTCATAAATTCTTTTCTCTAGGCCAAAAGTCTATAAGAGTTTTTTCCAACATTTTTCTTTTCCTAGAAATCTTATAGTTTTCCAAGGCTATAGACATTTTTTTCAAAAGAAGATAGATAATGGCCCAAGAACATATGAAAATTAGCTCAACATTTTCTTAATTCATCAGGGACACATGCAAATCAAACCACAATTGAGATACATTTAATCTCTAGTGAGAATGGCTTATTAAAAAGGTCCCAAAACAACAAAATGTTTTGGTGTGGGGAGGTTGAGAAGACAGAACGTTGGTACATTGCTGGTGGGACTGCAACTATGTAACAGGCCTCTGTGCAAAGGTACATGAATACCCAGAGAAGCGCAGTAGAACTACTATTTGCATACAGAAATCTGAAAATTACTGGGCATCTACCCAAAGGGAAAACTATTCGTAAAAAAGCTTCTGGCATTGAATGTTTTTATAGCAGAAACAATAATTCACAGTTTTTGGCAAAGATGTAAGAAACAATCCAAGGTGCCCCATTAATACCGGAGTAAAATTAAATGGGTAACCATATCATACCATGAGTTCTACTCAGTCCCAAAAACAATGGTGATCAAGCCATCTTGTTTATTTATCCTGGGTAGAGCTGAAACCCATTTCTACTAAACGTGGAAATATCATATGAAGTTGGAAAAAATAAACACCACATGTTAAACTTTCAACCATCCAAACATTGGGTAATTTAACAATATCAACACTAAGTTTGCACATAATAGTAGTAACATTCAAATCGAGTAATTCTGGGGCAGATGGGAAAAGAGGGAAGGAGAGGAAAAAAATGGATATATACGCAACCTTAATTGGGTGTGGGGTGGGTCCACTGTCTGGGGGGGAATGGAACATGGCTTTGAAGCTCTGGACTCAAGCGTAAAAGGGCCCAAATGCCCAATATATGTAACTTTAAACATTTTTACCCCCCAATATATTGCCCTGAAATTAAAAAAAAAAATTAAAAGGAAAAGAAAACAAATCCGAAAACAGGGGCTTGTTTTTAATTAGGTTTTCAGTATCTTAAAACTGTGCCTTTTGAAAAGTATTCCTTTTTTATTATAACGACATACCTTTCTTTACAAGTTTTATAAAGATTACTTTTAATTACAGAAGCTCTTTTAATAGTAAAGAAAGTGGGGTCTTTTTAAAACCTTACCAGTTAGGGAAAGAAACAAACTTTCCTCCAATAAAGAATATGCATTTTAATAAAATGAATCCCAAGCTGATTAAAAACATAGCATTTGGATAAATTCTATGTCCCATGAAAAAGCAGGATTTCTACATTGAGTGTTATTGTTTTATTAAAGCATTTAAGATTAATCATAACCTTAAATAATATATTTTCCAATGCAATAATTGCATGCTAAATGAAAAAGAATAGAGGAGAGCTGGCTAGATACTGCTATCCATTAAACCACCCCACAAACTAATACAAAAGAGTCTCTTCTTTGTTTTTTATTTTTTAAAATATAGAGTTATTTCATTAGTTTTATTCATTTTTTTTTTTTTTTTTTTTTTTTGAGACAGAGTCTCCTTCTGTTGCTCGGACTAGAGTGCCATGGAGTCAGCCTAGCTGACGGCAGCCTCAAACTCCTGGGCTTAAGCGATCCTCCTGCTTTAGCCTCCCAAGTAGCTGGGACTACAGGTGCACACCACCACGCCCGGCTAATTTTTTCTCTTTTTAGTAGAGACAGGGTCTCACTCTTGCTCAGACTAGTCTTGAACTCCTGAGCTCAAGTGATCCTCCCACCTCGGTCTCCCAGAGTACTAGGATTACAGGTGTGAGCCACCACGCCCAGTTTCTTCTCTTTGTGCATCTTCCCTGATGAAGTCCAGGAACTAGAAGGCTTATATCATATTAGAGTGACATTTTTTAAATGGCAATATCTATTGCACCCTAATAATGTATCAGAAACTATTCTGGGAATGTCATATATATATTATCTTGCTTAAATTCTGACAGACACTGAAAATGTGCAGAATTCCTCTAAGACTGCCAATCATTTGATTTTAGATTTGTAAAAGCTTAGGAAAAAGAAGACTTCTCTTCTTCACTGGCTTAAAAGGGATCCTCCATCCCAGCTAGTTGGATTCTCCCTAACATCCCAGATACTCACACAACATTTTAGAGAGAGTTTTCTGTATGTAGGTGCATGGTTATTGTTCCAAGTTAAGAAAATTCCTAAGAAACTCTAATCTAACAACAATAATAAAAAGAATCAGATCACAAAAACCTATGCTAAGTATGATTCAAAGGGAAAAAATGAGCTGTAGTGAAAGCCAACTTGAGCTGGAAAGACTTGCACTCTTAAGTAACCAGACATGTGTAGCCACTTATGAAGCTGTCTGATTACACATGTTTTTCAACATCTGTCAGTACAATCAGAACACCACATGCAAAATATTGCACTCATGAGCCTTGTGGGGGCTTGTTCGACTGTGAAGAGGTCTCAGAAGCAGAGAGAAATGAATCGATTTCACAGGTTGAACACAGGTTATTATTGCTTGAGTTGGTGAAAGCTTGGGAGGCAGCTCCCAAAGGCTGTGACTCATTTACTTGGACATCAATATCTTAAGGAAAAAACTTGAATCGGCAATAAAACCTACAGAGCCCTGAAGAAAGAGAGATGTCAGGAAGAACCAAGAAGCAGGAGAAACTGGAGAGCTATAGCTTCCCTTACTGCTTCAGAACTGAAAGGCAAACCTAACTTCACTCCCTCAAAGATAAATGCAATATTGTAACTTAAACATTTGTACCCATAATATGCTGAAATTAAAAAAAAATTAAAAAGGAAAGAAAAACAATTCGAAATAGGGGGCTGTTAATAGGTTCTCAGTATCTAAAACTGTGCTTTTGAAGTATTCTTATATAGGACATACTTCTACAAGTTATAAGATTACTTTTAATTACAAGAGCTCTTAATAGTAAGAAGTGTCTTTTTCAAATATTTTCCTAACTTCTCTATTTTTAAAATATAATATCTATAAATTAGATTACATACACACATAAATGCTGGACTTGAAGAAAACTCAGGAAATGACATATAGCCTGTTTACAAGGAAACTTTAAATATCAAATACAGGTGTTCAAAGAAACACTCTTGCATTGGGAAATAATGCCTGATTTTATGTTAAAGACAGATACATTATTAAAGGCCTAACTCAGATAGTATTTCTAATTAACATGATCTGCAAAATGTATTCCTCATGTAAACAAGACACTTTTCAAGAGATATTTCAACACACACTCCTTGCATCTGCAAAGGGATGTCAGAATGATGAATTTCCTGGCTTTTAGAATTCAATTTGGATAGCGCAAAGTCTGATTCCTTCCCTGAACACTCTCTGTATGCAATAAGACCTGTTCTTCCAGGTAAAAAATATGATTAAATAAAAGGCAACATTATGGCCTTGATATTGAATAATATTCTCACTAAAATAGGTCATGTGTGGCTACTCATTATTATATACATTGGCTTTCAAATGGTACTTTTTTTTTCATCTAAATTATGGGTCCACTGATACAAAGTAGCCTAAAGGTGCTATGAGAAAATTCTGATACTGTGAAGGAACATAACACAGGTTTTGCAGCCTTATTTTGTGTGAAAAAGTAATCACAGTTCAATTTGGAGCTGTAAAATGGGTATAATTGCTGAATCTGATGTGAGTTTCTCTAGGAGTATAAGATTTCGTAGAGTACTATGGTATAGGTATGACTGTCCAACATCCCACTCTCTAACTATGTTTGTGCTCGCCTTAATTTGAAGAACTTTCCTAAACCTCTCTTTACTTTAAAGAACAGTCTTGCAAGCTGACCCAGCTAATGGTGCGCCATCTTGGTTAAAGAAATAAGCAGGCAAAGTGAACTCTGCGAGTTAGAAGTACCCAGGCATGTCCACAGTGCCTCTCAGAAGAAAAGTGAATTCTCTAAGTGCTACTGCTCTGAAAATCTCTTTTGCATTCCCTGCCTGTGTGAAGACTTTGGCCATGATGGCTCACTTTTCAGAAAAAGGGGCAGGAAAATTACCCAATCTTGAAGCTGCTTCTTTTCCTCCTTTTCTTCAGAGCCAAGTCATGATCTCTCATAAGTACAGGGACTCCCCGCCAAGAATTGTCCTCACAGTGGTCAATGCGGAGCAGGTCTTTAAGGAGCAGGGCCCACTCCCACAGCAGACCTGTTCTTGTTGAACAGCTTATCCCACTG